CCTATAAGTTTAAGTAAAACGTGATCTTTCCCTTTGAAATCTTGGATTTTCAAAATAACTATTTAGATACTTTTCAATCCTTAATATGAGATTGATCCGGTCAAAATTAGACGTTAGAATTTACTAGGGATAACAAAATTTTCTGTAGAAATGGGTCTCAAGACCCGCTTAAATAAGATGAGGATGAGTGATTGTTAATGAGATTTTGAGTGAGGATAAGGACAGCTTTTGTCCCCAGGTCGGGTTTAGGGCACGGTCAGAGGAACAATCTCCACCTCGCCTCCGTCGCAATATGCATGTTTAAGAAAAATATTATGCATATTATTCATTTTTTTAACATGTATTGGTATTATAACCCTAATTATAATATTATTCTCTATACTTATTTGGTTTTAATTTTTTTTTTTTTTTTGGTGAGAAGGTTAAAATTGGATTAAATTTAGGATAAATTTCAACTTATCTTTAAGTTGTAACTTGGTAAAATTTTTGTCCATGACGAATATTATGGTGCGAATTAATAAGGGTATGAGCAAGGCCCATAACTGAAAATTCCCTAACCCTGTTCACGCCCCTCCTTAAGTGGGTATGGGGATAGAGGTCGAGATTGTTTTCTGGGACGAGAAACTATTCCTGGCTTTACCCTGCCCTGTCCATCCTTATCCCGTTTCTATCCCTAATTTTATGACTTGTTTCAGATAAGGTTAGGCATGAAGCAACTGATTTGTCACAATAGACGTAATATTGTGTCAAATTTATGACATTAGGCCAGTTAAAAGTTGTTAACTGGGGAGGGATTTTTAAAACGACCGATCGAGTAGATCACGTGAAAGAATATTCTTGTAATTTACAAGAGTACAAGAATGAATGTCATTATCTTTCACTTAAATCTAACACGGGAAAGACTGTAATTTTCCGGGTGAGAAAACGTTAAAAGGGTATCACAGATGATATAGCAAATGGCTGGAAAATTGGTTTAATATGTGAAAAAACATTGTATATATTGATTTAAGTCATTGCAAGGTAAAGAATTAAAAGTGAGAGTGAGATTTTTTTTTTTTCCTTCGCTGAAAAGGATGACCAGTGTGCCAAGGAGATTTGGCACTCGATCCATTGTGGATGTTTCGTCAAAAATAATCTTATGTGTACTTGATCTTAATGTAGCGAGGTAATTTCTCGTATTTAGACCTCATGTTTTTTTTTTTTTTTTTTTTTGAATGTCATCAAATTATACTGATAGAACTGGTCTCAATTGAGAGCTATATCAAATTTATATTGCAAGATCATTTTCCATTTTACTGTGGTGTTTGTGTCACTATTTTAGTTTGAATGCAATTTTTAAAGGGGATCATATTAGGAGTTGAGTACAAATATTCCTTAATTCATTTATTTCTTATCTCCCGTAATCTTTGACATAAATTCATGGAAGGTACACCATTTGATCTAAATTGGTCAGCATAATTGGTGTTGACTGACACTCTTGAACCATCAACGAATTAGGAGAGAGAGCGAGAAAGAGATAGCGAATGACCAAAGAGGAAAAAATGGTGCTGTCTAGATATCTAGATATGTAACATATGACTTTCAATGTAAGTTCCCTAGTGTTAAGTAGGAGTGACAATTCGTATTAGTGGATCGTGTTCGTGTCAACCTGTTTATTAATTATATCAGAAAATATCAATCTAAGTACGACTTGTTTATTAAACGTGTTAAAAATATTAACTTAAACACGACTTATTTATTAATCGTGTTAATCGTATCAACCAGTATAACCCGTTTAAATTAATATATTGAATAAATAATTAATATAATAATGACTTATTTAACACGGTCATGATAAGTTTAACATGTTTATTGGTCAATTTATCTTTTCATTTAAGAAAAATAAATGAATTTTACGTACAAATATTAAAATTCACTTTATTTGTATTTGGTATGTCACATAAAATTTCATCTTATATAACATATTATTAGATTGCAGATGACACATATAGTTAATCGTGTCAATTCGTGTCACTTCGTGTTAGGAGGTCAATCTTAACCCAATCCATTTATTAATCGTGTTAATCGTGTCAACTCGATTATGGCCCAAACTCATTTATAGTAAACCCAAACTCACTAATTTCGTGCGGATTTTAAATCGTGTTGTCATGTCGCTATTCGGATTGTCAACCTTAGTGTTAAGTGGTACTAGAAAAACACTTTTTTTTTTCTTATTCTGATCAACTTGAAGGAGATGGCATCGATTAGGACTAAGGGGCACGCATCCTAATTACATTACTATAACCCCTTTTTTAAGGCAGGAAATGGAATCGATTAGGACTTATGAGGCGCAAACACATCCTAATTACATTACTATAACCCCTTTTTTAAGGAACCGGAATCGATTAGGACTAAGCGGCGCAAACACATCCTATTTAGGCTAGCATCGCTCGAGCAATTTATTACACACTAAGACTGCCCACTCAATATCGAAAAATAAGATAGAAGTCAATACAAAGACAACAACACTACGTCAGCAGAAAAAAAACAAAAAGAACCAAACAGAGAAGAAACATAGCAATTGTACTAAAGACACCTAAGTTTAAGCCACACTCAAAGGATCTACTCCTTGGAAAATGATGTTTCCATTATAATAAGTTACCTAACTGAAATAAGCACCTTTAAAATATGATCAGTTGGTTATATATGGACATGTCATACATGCATCATCTTTTCTTTTTTCTTTTTCTTTTTTTTTTCAATACAAGCAACATAGCCATAAATAGACCATAATTGGGTGTTCATAATATACTAGACTGTGATATTAGTTTTAAAAAAGAAGGGACTAATCTTTAATTATCACATAAAGAGAAAGATAATGTATTTTGATGTACGAAATCTTTCACTCTTATGTATGTGGTCACTCACTTGAAACAAAAATTGAACTGATTAGACTAGACCATGGACCACACAATTTATCGGAGGAAAATGGCGTCTCATATGCTGTTCTCTTTCGATAGATCAGCTGACAACTTATAGAGGACGTGTAACATTTATAAGCGTGCATTTTTCATGTGCAATATATATTCATAAAAATGCTATGGCAACTTACCAATACCACGGTAAGGTGACTTGAACCAAAACTGTCTTGGCTTTGCTTTGCACGCATACATTGATAGAAGATGTAGGGTTATTGGACCCTACATTTATATATATATATATATATATTACGAGCATGACGTTTTAATAATTACTCTAACATTTATTTATAGTATTATTTTAATCATGTGATATTGACCAAATAATTATAATAAATTATATAGTTGATAACGATAAGAAAATTAATAAAATTAATAATTAAATTTTTATATTTAATGATTAACTATTAACCGCTAAAAACTCTAGTATTTAATTTTTGCTGTCATTGTATAACAGTACGGGTGCAAACAATTATATTTGTCATAATATGTTGAGAAATCCATATTGAGGTGGGGCTCATGGTTTGAAAGCTTACTTTAGTACAACCCCACGCAAAACAGAACTTGAAACTGTGTTACATGGTACAACGTTTGAAACATCATTTACTTTAAGTGCCCCACTTGACGTTCATATGGCAACTAACCTCCTAAAGATTAATACATCCATGTGTCTATATATATATATATATATATATATATATAATGAATAGACAAAAAAAAAAAAAAAAAAACCCCTTT